TTTGTTGCCCCACCAACCCAACCTCCACTGTCTCATGGGGTGTCCATGTCACCCATCCCAGGAAGCTGTCTCATGCATACATGCTGCTGGTTTCCATTTTTGCGCAGTTGTTCCACAAAGCTTCAAATGCTAGTGGAGGCTTGTGGCACATCTGTGCATGTGCAGGTACTTTCCCTCTCGTGTATGAAGATGGAGCAGGTATGAAAGTCCCAGATCTCAGCATGTCTGTGCTTGTGCAGTAAAGCACCGCCAAAGGTGAAAGTCCCAGTGTGTAAATAAATCTTACAATCCACTTGTATCATACCATGTGAGAATGGAAATGTGCCCACACAACAAACAAGAAACATGCTCCAAAGTCATCTTGCCAGTGACTTTATACATGGCATGGTTATTGGTACCAGATGGGCTGGTCTAAGTATTTCAAAAACTGCTGATCTACTGGGATTTTCACACACGACCACTGAAATTGAGACTCATCAGACCAGGCAATGTTTTTTCCAATCTTCTATTGTCCAATTTTGGTGACCCTGTACGAATTGTAGCCTCTGTTTCCTGTTCTTAGGTGACAGGAGTGGCACCCGGAGTGGCTTCTGTTGCTGTAGCCCATCTGCTTCAAGGCTGGACATGTTGTGCATTCAGATCTGGTATTTTGCATACCTTGATTGTAACGAGTGGTTATTTGAGTTATTGTTGCCTTTCTATCATCTCGAACCAGTCTGCAAATTCTCCTCTGACCTCTGACATCAGCAAGGCATTTTCGTCCACACAACTGCCGCTCACTGGATATTTTCTCTATTTCAGACCATTCTCTGTAAACCCTAGAGATGGTTGTGCATGAAAATCCCAGTAAATCAGCAGTTTTTAAAATACTCAGACCAGCCCGTCTGGCACCAACAACCATGGTTGTTCAAAGTCACTTAAATCCTCGTCCCCATTCTGATGCTCGGTTTGAACTTCAGAAAGTCGTCTTCACCACGTCTACATGCCTACATGCATTGAGCTGATGCCATGTGATTGGCGGATTAGTAATTTGTGTTTCCAAGCAACTGTACAGGAGTACCTAATAAAGTGGCCGGTGAGTGTATATTCTCCAGGGGCACATGAGTGCCAAACAAAGAAGTGCACTGCCACCCTTCTCTATGTTAATGTTCTGAACTGCATTAGTGAATGAATGATTCTCAGCTAGGCTTTCTGTTGTTATATAGTCTTATAAGGGTTTATTTACTAAAGCTGGAGAGTGCAAAATCAGGCTCACTTCTGCATAAAAACCAATCAGCTTCCAGGTTTTATAGTTAAAGCTTAATTGAACAAGTTGAGGTTAGAAGCTGATTGGCTACCATGCACAGCTGCACCAGATTCTGAATGCTCGAGTTTTAGTAAATCTACCCCATAGAGTATATGCTATGCAGTCATGCTGCCCTCCTTGAGCCAAGGAGACATTGCTATAAAGAGGCCATGTTTGTGCAGCTTTCAGAATCTGTTTTGAATTATTCTGCATACTCTTTGCATTATTGCTTCCAACTTTGCACCCGTTTACTAAACTGCAAGTTACAGTTTCTCACTGTCAGGTCGTTTGGCAATTACCTCTTCACTTAAACAATTCCTTTGCCTGTAATCCTTTGAGTACAATTGTCAATGCGGCACCCTAGCCAGTGAATACTAATTTCATATTTGTCTGAATTCCAACTTTTCCTGCTGCTCTTCAAACTGTTCATTTGTATTTCTCTCCTGCTTGGCTCAGAAAGCCTCTCTTTACAGACAAATGTCCAAGAGAGGAAAATATTGCAATACGCAAAGCCTGTTTGATTTTTATCTGTCTCTTCTGTGGCTGCTTTGGTACGGATCTCCCAATGGAGCTCATGACAATGGAACTGCTCCTTTAATCAATGCAGCACAGGCGATGTTGAGCTGCCTACTGTAATATTTCATGTCACGCAATGACAAATGAAAGAATGTAAAACCCATCAGAGAGGCATGGCGTTCTTATGGCATGCTGTGTTGGCCCTGATTGGGTGTCTGTCCTTTAATCTGCCTTCACTATGTCTGGACACACGGGGACCGCTGTCTGCTTCATGCTAGTATTGCACTGTGTGTATGTTTATCTTGTTTCTTTTCTCCTATCCATCAGGATAACATCAGCCATTGCACCTGTCATGTGAAGGGAAGGATGGTTTGGGAGCACGGAGAAATAAACAGATAGGCAGACCCGGGGATACAGCACTGAGGATATTTTTGTATGAGATCTCCAGCTACATCCTGTGGTTATGTTTCCATCATATGGCTTACCTAGTCTTTTTCAAGAAGCAGCTTTTCCAACATGCAGAACATTTCCCTGCTTCTAAGAAGTTGTTATAATTTACAGTTCTTGCTCCCCAATGATGTTGAATGTGGTTAGTGGCCATAAACTCTAAAACATATTGGCCTTCATGTCCATCTTTAAACCTGGAATTTCATTCCGCTGAGGTCTTCATATTAACATTCATGGGATTGTAGACTGCATGTAAAACTACAATAATAAACAATATTAAGTAAATCAATCAAGGACCCTGAATTACTGTAATTGGCAAAACGCCAAAGCATTTATTGGTTTACTGAAAACTAGAACGATTGTAAATAAAACTTTACCAACCAACTTGTCAAGCTGAAATTAAATCTAAAGAGAAAATTATTTTTTTTCAATATAGATAAAGTAGGGGACATTAAACAATGCCATTTGTGTCTTATTAGGAGATGTCCCTTTATTTTCTGTCCTGTAGAGTCAACCTGAATTTAGAGGATATCTTTCCAAAGTGAAGGAAATTCTTCTCAAAGCTAGGTTCACACTTGTGCGGGTCAGGAATACTCATAAAACCGCCCACGCTCCTGACCAGCAGGCAAAATGCGCTGCTCCTTAGCAGATGCACAGGGGTGCCATTCATTCTTATTGGCACCCCTGTGCATCTAACGAGCAGCATGTGCCATGCGTTTTCCATTTCACACCATGTGGTTCGTGAGGCTGCGTTTTTAAGAAAGGGTTGGGGAATTTTTAACTCACATTTCTCACAGGTTCAACAGCCCATTCAAATGAAAGGGCTGATGTGCCCATGCAAATGCGCATGCACTGACCTGCACAAGTGTGAACCTAGCCTTAGACAGTTGTCATGGAAAATGGCATCCCCATTGGAAGGTTTCCATTCTACTCCAGTTCTGGTGACAACTCAAAATTTTGAATTTTTTTTTACTTTCTTTCTGGTAAGATTGGTAAAAAGGCAGTTAAAGAGAGGATATCTCCCTAATGGGGACACAGAGAGCCTTTGTCTATACCTTAATTTTAAAGGTACACCCCCACCAGCATTAGGGGCACAGGATCAGTTCAATCAGTTCTGCCTGTCAGTTTTCTAGGTGAATCCAATTGTAAAGCTGGTCATAGATGGAGCGAATTTCTTTCCTGCAACCATGGGTTGCAGGGTAATCTCTTCTGTGCAGCCATTGGCGCTAGCAATAATCACATGTAAAATACGGCAGGCTCTTTGTACCCAAGTTGATCAATCAATCAGCCTGCATATACATGGTTAAAATCTCGGCTGATTCCTGCTGAACTGGCCAAGATTCGAACTGTCTATGGCCTGCTTTAGTTTAATGTTAATGGATGGGCAGGCAGAAGCCCCCGAGGTCCAAAAAAAAAAAAAAGACCTAAATGTGAGCGATCAGAGGTAAAAGGACATATAGACAGACATTCCCTTAGAAGGAAAATCTCAGCCAAATGTGAAATTAGTACTCACAAGAATTGTAATGTTTTAGATGTAGGGTTTGCCTATGCTAATGTCAAAATTGACTTTAGAAACATTTGGGTTGCAGTGACTGATACTGCCTACAGGGGAACTTTTAAAGCTGAACTCCGCAGATATTTTCAACACCAATTAAAGCATTTATGAAAACAATAAAAATATCAAAATGTTTATTTTTCAAGGGACACTGTTATTGAATCAAAGTGGAAGCAAACTCACGTGGTTTATTTTTACCTATAGGTAAGGCTTACCCATAGGTACGGTAAATATCTCCTAAACATGCATGTAAATATCTCCTAAACATGTGATGCATACTAGCACAATATGACTTAAATTGGTGTGGTTTACTATCGCTTTAATAAAAAACTGAAATTAAGAATGAGGTATTATACAATTTCCTCCAATTTTAGCTCTCTTCAAGAGCTGCATCCTCTGGCAAAATCTTCACACCAAACACTTCCGGAATATCAGATGACTGCACCCCCCACAGCATGTTGTGGATCCACCCACTGTGTTGTAGTGATTTAGGGGCCCATGGGAGGAACCACAGTGCAATGAGGGATCAGACCAACACAGCAGGAAGTTTTCATTCATGAAGAAGCTATTGCTGTACGAGAACATGAAGACACAAGGATTGGTCAGATAGATAAGTGAGTATAGATCCTTAACCACTTGCCTACAGGGCATTTATACCCCCTTCCTGCCCAGGCCAATTTTCAGCTTTCAGCACTATCGCACTTTGAATGACAATTGCGCTGTCATGCAACACTGTAACCATATGAAAGTTTTATCATTTTTTTGAGACAGATAGAGCTTTCTTTTGGTGGTATTTAATCACCTCTGGGTTTTTAATTTTTTGCTAAACAAACCAAAAACAACTGAAAATTTTGAAAACATTTTTTTCTTTGTTTCTGTTATAACATTTTGTAAATAAGTGGTTTTTCTCCTTCACTGATGTGCGCTAATGAGGCTGCAGTGATGGGCACTGATGAGGAGGCACTGGTAGATTGCACTGGTGGGCATTAACAGGCATCACTGGTGGGCACTGAAAGGCAGCACTCATATATGGCACTGATAAGTGGCACTGATAGGCGGCATTGACTGGCACTGTTAGTTGGCACTGACTGACACTGTTAGACGGCACTGTTAGGCGACACTGATGTGCACTGATAGGCAGCACTGACAGGTGGCACTGATTGGCAGCACTGATAGGCGGCACTGACTGGCATTGATAGGTGGCACTGACTGGCACTAATAGGTGGCACTGAAAGGCAGCTCAGATGGGCACTGATATGTGGCATTGATGTGCACTGGTAGGCACTATGTGGCATTGATGTGCACTGATGAGCACTGCCAGGTGGCATTGATGGGCACTGACAGGTGGCACAGCTGGGGCTATACTGATCATTAGGGCACACTGATCATCAGTGCCCTGATGATCAGTGTAGATGTACCCTCTGAGGAATGCCGATTACCGGCTCTCCTCACGAGCTCTCAGCGTGACAACTCGTAAGGAGAGAAATGGCGATAACTGGCATTTCCTCATTTACATGCAATCAGCTGTGATTGGACACAGCTGATCACATGACAGAGCCGACGTCTTTGGCTCTTTCCGTTGATTGCTGATCCACTGTGTCCCAGGGACACAGTGCACCACCGATCGCCACACTGCGCACCCCCGGGGTGGTGGTTAGAGTGGGAGGACGTCATATGACGTCCTCCTAGAATGAGAGAACCGCCTTGCACTCATCATTACCTTATATAGCGGACGGGAGGCGGTTAAGCATGCAATATTTTTTTTTAATTTTTAAATTTGAATTCTAGCCTAAACCTAACTAGCCCTAAAAATGTATCTTCCATCTCAGCACCTATGCTGACTAAAATGTGTAAAAAATATGCACTTACTTTACCAATTTTCAGTCTGCTCTGGTCTGGCCACAGGATCCAGCTCCCCTCTGTCAGCCAGCAGTGGATGCAGGGGAGAGAAGTAAGCTCCAACAACGGATGGGCCATGGGAGCCTATGGGTGACGGCACTGCTCCGGGCTTTTCCAGCCATTGTCGAGTGCTCTTTCCTTACACCACCAGACTGACGCAGGGGATCACATGACCAGAGCAGGCTGAAAGTCGGCATAGGTGTTGGGGTAAAAGGAAATTTTTAAGTCTAGTTAGGTTTAGGTTGGAATTGCACTTTAACTCAGCAACAGAGGCCATCTGTTGTCCACTGATCCCTTGCTGAGGAGAGCAGAGCGGGTGGATGACAGGTCTCTTTCTGCCCTGCTTATGCAGAGCGGACACAGACACAACCCGCTCTGCTCTGTGGGTGATCATGTGTAAATGGACCAGCTGTCTGTTTACACATGCCTACCCTCCGATCCACCAAGATGGAGGGGAACGGATCCACTTCCATTTTTTTCTGGTGGACCGGATTGGATGTAGGCGGGTGTAAATGGACACAAGTCGGTTGACACCCGCGGTAGTGGCCAACAGGAATACATGGACCATCTGCTCAGATACTCCTGAAAAACTGACAGACGGGCCTGATGGGATTTCCCACGTGAAAAGGGCCAGGGCCTTATTCTATTCCACTGTATTCCACTGTACAGCATCATTTATACTGGGAGAAAGAAGGGAAGCACTAAAAGCCAATCAGGTGCTGCAGTGTACATGTGCTGACATGAAACATACTGACAGGAGGGGAGAGCAGAGTGAGCAGAGGGGTGAGCAGCAGGTGTTTCTTTACTGTCCAGTTCCAAGCTGGGGGCAAGGAGATGACCTAGTTTTTTCGCTTAGCCAAACCAGAGAAAAAACAGCTCACCATTCTGCTGTGCTGTTTGACTGGGCGTGTGTGTCTATATTTATTTTATTTAATTTATTTCAGGTACTTAAATAGCGCCATCGCCCTAACTCACATTCATACATATACAGTACATATTAGGGCCAATTTAGACAGGAGCTAATTCACCTACCAGCATGTCTTTGGAGTGTAGGAGGAAACTGGATTACCTGGAGGAAACCCACACAGGCACAGGGAGAACATGCAAACTCCTGTCAGGTGGTGCCGGGGTTGGGATTTGAACCAATGACCCTAGTACTGCCAGGTGGAAGTGCTGCCCATATATATATATATATATATATATATATATAAAGCCACATGTTCAGGTGTGATATGACTACCAAGAGAATACATTGACTGGAGCAGGAAAAGCGGCTCCTTGCTGCACAATACTTGATCCAGCTTATCTTATACCGTTTTCCTGGCTGCTAGCTGAACTTCAGATTTTAATGTGTGACTCCAACCCTTATTTTCTGTCTTCTTCCTCATTTCTGAAAGCAATGCACTTTTCATGTTCAGATGATAGCAATGATTTAAGTTAATTATAAAGATTACAGGTAATTATAACAAACTTTAAAAAGTTACAGTGCTGCCTAGAATGTGAAATGTTCATTCTGGCTGCAATAACAAATCAAATTTAGAAGGAATGTTAACCGTATGTACTTAATTTCCCTCTTTGCTAAAGTTGTTCTTTTAAAGCTCAGCTTGGGTGGTCCACCTAAGAGACCCCTTCCCCCCGAGGACCCATGCCCACATTTAATTTTTTTTTAAATTGTGTACAGTTGTGTTCAAAATAATAGCAGTGTGTTGAAAAAAGTGAATAAAGCTCAAAATCCTTCTAATAGCTTTTATTTCCATACACACAAATGCATTGGGAACACTACACATTCTATTCCAAATCAAAACATGAAGAAAAATATATCAAATTTGTGTTGTTCCTCTAAAAAAAATTTAAGAAAAGTGAATATTAGACTGTTCAAAAAAATAGCAGTGTTTGTATTCTTCTTTACAAACTCAAACATTCACTATATAAACTGAAAAATGTTTGAAGATTTTGCTTTCCTTTGAATCACTTAATGAATATTTCGTTGTATAAGCACTGTTTCTGAGACGTGCTGTACATCTGTGTTGCATGGAGTCAACCAACTTCTGGCCCCTGTGAACAGGTATTCCAGCCCAGGATGATTGGACTACATTCCACAGTTCTTCTCTATTTCTTGATTTTGCCTCAGAAACTGCATTTTTGATGTCACCCCACAAGTTTTCTATTGGATTAAGATCCAGGGATTGGGCTGGCCACTCCATAATGTCAATCTTGTTGGTCTGGAACCAAGATGTTGCACGTTTACTGGTGTGTTTGTGGTCGTTGTCTTGTTGGAACACCCATTTCAAGGGCATTTCCGCTTCAGCATAAGGCAGCATGACCTCTTCAAGTATTCTGATGTATTCAAACTGATCCATGATCCCTGGTATGAGATAAATAGGCCCAACACCGTAGTATGAGAAACATCCCCATATCATGATGTTTGCGCAACCATGCTTCACTGTCTTCACAGTGTACTGTGGCTTGAATTCAGTGTTTGGGGGTCGTCTGACAAACTGTCTCCGGCCACTAGACCCAAAAAGAACAATCTTTCTTTCATCAGTCCACAAAATGTTGCGCCATTTCTCTTTAGGCTAGTCAATGTGCTCTTTGGCAAATTGTAACCTCTTCAGCACGTCTTTTTTTCAAACAGTGAGACTTTGCGGGGGGCTTCACATAGGCATTTCTTGCAGATACTCAACGTTAGACCTTCTGCGTATTTTGGCAGGCCATTTTGGCTATTTTCTATCCATTCGAATGTTGCCATTTCAGGTTTTAAAGCATTTGCGATCATTTTAGCTGAGCAGCCTATCATTTTCTGCACTTCTTTATATGTTTTTTCCCCTCTCCAATCAAACTTTTTAATCAAGGTACGCTGTTCTTCTGAACAATGTCTGGAACGACCCATTTTCCTCAGAATTTCAGAGAGAAATGCACTGTAATCAGCATGTACAATATTTGCTGCCTTCCTTCCTTACATAAGGGCAATAATTGCCATCTGTTTTTCAAAGAATGAATGACCTCACTAATAGAACTCCACACTGCTATTATTTTGAACATGCCCTTTCAATTAGTGATTCAATTACACAGAATCAGCAGCATGCATGTCATGCCTGTTGGGTCTGTTGGATTTCTATTACTCTACTACAACTGCTAGTAAATTATTTGCCATGTAGAAATATCATTTCTACCAAAAACAGTGATTGATCAGGTTAGTGATGTCTGACTGCTATTATTTTGAACACATCTGTACATATCCTTTAAGACTGAGTCTTGTAGCCGGTCACATGACAGGGTCCATGTCCTCCTCTCGATCTGTGGTCCAACGATGTAGAAAGTATCACTGATTTAGTGACATCAACTGTGTTCAGCTTTGTGTTGTAAGTACACTGATGTAGAGGTGGGTTCATGACATCCTGGGCTCACAGGAAGTGGGCTGAATAGTGCTGGATGTCAGGAAGAGAACCAGCACTGGACCACACCATTGTAAGTCTGTGGGGGACAGCATCAGGGAAGAAGGTGAGAATTACAGCAAAGGTTAGTTTTACACAGTGCTGGGCTATTTATTGAAAAGTAAGTCTAACTGAAGTTTTGACTTTAAAGGGTATGCCCATTTTTACAGTCAAATTTGAAATTTGAGAACACTCCACTATATGTTTGTTATGTGTTACCATTCACACAACCTACATACATAAAAAAAGACCTTTCTTACATGCAGGAGGGCAGTTTCTAAATATTTAAAGTGATACTAAAGTCTTGATTTTATTTTCTTAAAAAATAACAAACATGTTACCTGCTGTGTGCAGTGGTTTTGCGTAGAATGGCCCGGATCCTCCTAATCCCCCATCGGCGCTGCTGGTCCATGCCTCCTGTTGAGTGCTACCATAGCAAACAGTTTGCTATGGAGGCACTTGAGCAGGTGTGCTCCCAAGCCGTGGCTCTGCATGTCCATTCACACACAAAGCCACGGGGAGATCAAGAGGGCTCAGGTAAGTGTTAGGGGGGGATAGGGGGGCTGCTACACACAGAAGGTTTTCTTACCTTCATGCATAGAATGCATGAAGGTAAAAAAAAATCTTGAGACTTGAGAACCACTTTAACATTTTGTTAGGACAGACAGAGTTCAAATCTATTTTACAGCTGATACTGAAGAACTTTGAACCCAGTACAGAAGTTAATTAAGTTAAACATTACTCCACAGCCCCCTCTTAAGTCCTCATGCACACAGGACGTTTTTACAGCGTCTGTTTTTGGCTTTTGCCGTTTTTTTCTACAGCTAGTAAACCCCCCAGCATGTTATCCTATGTGTCCATGCACACATACACTGTAATCAACATTTTTTGGCAGGGGCGTTTTTTTAACTGGAAAAAAAACCCAGGACTAGTGGGTTTCTAGAGGAGTTTTTTAGCTGTAAAAACTAACGCTGAAAAATGCGGCAAAACACGGTAAAACACCGCAAACCGGCATTTTTTGAGTTTTTTTTGACCAAAAAATATTTTTTTGCTAGTAAAAAAAATGCTAAAAAGCGCAAACGTGGGAAAACGCCGCTAAACATGGGAAAACGCCGCTAAACGCTAATGCAAAGATGCTAAAAAAAAGCTGAAAAACTCACGTTTTTAACATACTGGGACGCTATTTGGCTGGAAAAAAAACCCAGGACTAAT